CAGTTTATACTCATGCTACATATACTGCCTTTACTGTTAATACACATGCTACATATACTGCCTTTACGGTTGATACACATGCTATATATACTGTCTTTACGGTTGATACACATGCTACATATACTGCCTTTACGGTTGATACACATGCTACATATACTGTCTTTACAGTTGATACACATGCTACATGTGCATATGTTATCAGTATCGGTATAATTCAAGCCAGTTTTTGAAATGTAAGCTTCTCGTAATTGAAGTTTGCTTTTCATTTTTCTACTACTGTAGCAACAAGATAGACTTTTATTAAAACCAAGCCAGTTTCTGAAATGTAACCATCTCGTAAGAAAGTACTTCAGACATTCCATTGGGGATCTTAGCACGTTCTTTCCAAACCAAATTTAAGATAAATCCTTTCAAAGCTAATTCTTTGCATCTCCTAGGTTTTCTTCTAACATTTCAACTTCCAGAAAATCGCTTTATATCTACTTAAAACGTGTCTCACATATATTTTCTACTATAAATAGCTACAATCTTGGAAGTTTTTAAAGGAAAGAATAATAAGGACAACATCAACAGGAAGAAGAAGAAGAAAAACTCCTCGGAAGTCTACTTCAACTCAGAAGATGTCTTCATCAAATGTCAAAAAAAGGAAAGGAAAAATCGCCGATCAGTCAATAAACTTTAACGATCTTTTTATTTTGATTATTTACAGTGCTAGGTCTCCCCAGAAGTAAAAGAAAGACCTTACAAACAAACCGAAGCCTATTTACTATTTATCATTTATATAGGTCTATCTAAAAGAAAAATTGTGCAATCTTTGTTTTCAAAAACAACTAAAAATTAGCTTTCTTCGAAATTTCTTTTTTACAATGAAAAGGCTTAGAGAGCTCGTAAAAAGTTGGCTTTTTAGCTGTCTTTAAACACATATGCATGGATGGCTCTGTGTCACGTAGAAAATATGAAGGTTTGCTAAAAGCTTTGTTAGATATTCATTTGAATTCAAGAAAAACTGGAGCAAATAGAACCGTAGCTAGCGGCATCTATTGTTTTTATGAGGAACTATATTCAACATTAGAAAAAAAAACACTTTCGTCATTTACAGGGACACAATCACAGGACTTTGCTTTCATGTTTTTTGGTACCTAATCTTTGCTGAGTACGTTCTGTTGAATGTGTTTGACCTTGTTCATTCATAACTCACAACTTTGAAACCGCGGTGTGTTATAAGAGTGATGTTCAAATCCCACTATTCGATTACAGTAACCTAAGAGTTGACGGTTGGTGCTGCTGACTAGCTGCCTTTCCTTTAGTTTATCAGTTAAAAATCCTCATTTCACCTAAGAAGATATTACCTTAAAACCGAATTATATGGATGATGTCTTCTTCATCAGTTTTCTATTCCAGCAGGTTATACTTTAACCCCAGTAACGAGTTTATTTTAGACAACAGTATTAGATCGTCATGAAAGCACCAGATCAACTGTTGCAAAATAACCACACCATTAGATCGTCATGAAAGCACCAGGTCAACTGTTGCAACATAACCACACCATTAGATCGTCATGAAAGCGACAGGCCAACTGTTGCTGCATAACCACACCATTAGATCGTCATGAAAGCGCCAGATCAACTGTTGCAACATAAGCACACCATTAGATCGTCATGAAAGCGACAGGCCAACTGTTGCAGCATAACCACAGTATTAGATCGTCATGAAAGCGACAGGCCAACTGTTGCAACATAACCACAGAAATAGATCTTGATGAAAGCGCCAGACTAACTATTGCAGTATATGTATTTATATATAGCTGAGTGTCCCTGTGTAAAGTATTCTTTATGGTGGCTAGTTTTTAGTATCTACCGAAATAATACCTCTTCTGTACAACTATTACATGACACTTTGTTTCATTCTGTTTACACTTGGCTTGTGTTTTCGGTTTCGTTAACCGATTTTGTTGGAACTGGCAGACAACAACTACAAGTACTGTTTGCTATTTTTTTAACGAGAGGAGTCTTAGAATTAAACAAAAAATAGATGTATGGGTTTAAAGCACTGTTACTAGCCGAGAAGATTCCAGAAAAAGCTACAAGGTTCTGATTCAGAATAGCAGGGTTTCCAAAAGCGATTATAATTTCTTGAATCAGATACGGTGTACATGTTGTTAAGAATGTTGAAACTATAGTCAAAGTCATCTTCAACGTTTTTACTTTTGCCTTTGAAATCTGTGAGGTTGATGTATCCACAGTTTGAGTTTGAGTTGCATTTCCAGCCCCTTCCGAACCAATAAGACGCGATTTTCTGGAATGAAACCGGGTAAGTTTTCCAGTTCTTGTCAACATTGTATACATAATGCGGGCATACAGTACGATAACCATCAGGATAGGAATGATAAAAACTACCAGAAGAATCAAAGCCATGTAAACTTGTCGATGAGCAAGAGAGAGAGAAGACGTGTAAAACTTTGCAACGCAAAATGCTTTACCATCAGACAAGGTGACGGTCTGGAAAATGTAGGCATTGGGCAAGGATGGCAATAGAGATAGCGCCCAGGCGCACGTGATCAAAGCTTTGGTGCGCGTGTTACGGAACAAAGGGTACACTATGACGGTATGTCGATCTAAAGCAATAGCCAAGAGAATATAGTTTGAAGAAACCATTGTGAACGTTTGGAAAACTTTAAAGATCCGGCAGAAGACCTCTCCAGCAATCCACTCTCTATCCATGAATTCCCACACCAGTTGGGAACACATGGTGATCAAAGTTACAAGAATGTCAGCAACAGCAAGGTTCAGAAAGAGAACGTGAATGGCAGTCCTATGATGCCACTTACCCTTGATGTGCAGACACATAGCTATGTTGCCCAGTAAGGAGAGGACAATCATAGCCACGAGAATATAGACCCGCACCTGATGGTGATACTTCGGACCAAGAACTGCTTGTTTGTGGCCGCAATCCTCCTGAGTGAAGTTTGTGTTGTTCATTGTACATCTGGTAATGTTCATCTCCATCTTGTTCGAGAAGTACAGTTTAAGTTCTGGAAAGAAACGTAGAATTAGTTTTAATATAAACTTCATAGAGTTAACCTGGAACTTATAAAACTAATACTAAAATCATTTTTTTGTTTTAACTATTCGTATTATTAATTCCAAAATTGTAATGTAATATGACACAAGAAATGATGTAAATCTTACTGTGTAAAGCAGTAAAAACTACTAAAGAAGCAAGCCATGTTTATAAATTATACTCATGATTAAATTGCATGTATGTAACTTTCTATTAATTCGTGAGTATGTTAGAATCCGGGTTTCGATACCCGTGGTGGGCGGAGCACAGATAGCCCATTGTGTAGCTTTGTGCTTAATTTCAAAGAAATAAACAAACTTTTTTCTAAAATGAGAGAAAGGACGTATTTCTTCTTTTAATAACAACCACGTAATCAGACAAATTATGCGAGAGGTAACCTAGGTTACGGCTCCAAGTAAGATCAGGTAAAGCATGTCGAGCACCTTAACCATCAGGCCACGTTAGTCCCGAAATAAAAAGCTCTTTTAAAGTATAAATACATTTGAATAATTGAAACGTGTTCTAGGATTTTGACGAAAATCCTTAGTTGTAAGACAAAGCCTGTTAGCAAACAAAACCAAAAAAAAACAAAATAGATTCATAAAATATAAAATGTTTTGAATTTTTTTTTTTCACTATTCGTATTTAATGTCAACTTGAGGAAATTTGTAAAATATGTGAGCTCAGAACATGAGTATGAACATACCAAATGTTAACAACTATGTTTTTTTTACTCTGTTCTTTTTCGCGCAAAGTTGCTCAGGAGGAGATACCTGCACTAACTGTCGCTAATTCTGAGCTGATAGGTTGGAAGGAAAACAGTTAGCCAACAACGCCCACCGCCAACACTTGGGGTACTCTAATCTAATAATGGGATTTCACAATCACTGTTATAAAGCACCCAAGGTCTCAAAGTGTGGAACCCAACAGTCGGGGCAAAGGGACGCGTGGCAGAGACCATCAAATTCATATTTCAGTACGCTAACCATTAGGCTACTCCCGACCCATTTAATAACTAAATAACGAAGTAGTACACTTGAATTTTGAAATAAAGACAACTTTCAGACCAGCTTATCATTATGCTGATTATAGTTTATTCTGTTAATTACTTAAACTATCTTGTCAGCTGTATTAACTTTTGCATAACTATCTTTGCATAAGTCGAGCTAAAAAAAACGTATGCATATTAAATAGCTTTACTAGTGTGGACCAGAAAACAAAGCAAAAAAATACACAAACAGACAGATTAATGGAGAAACAAATAGATGGATTAATTCATAGATAGTTGAATAAATAAATACTTAGGTACACCTAAAGAATAATAATAAATAGGCAAATGATAAGACAACATCGATAGATATAATATTGGGTTGTACCATATGTTTTCCTCTCCTTTTAGTTTCAAATTGATTTCGTTAAATTTATTTCTCTTTCTTGGTTGGAAAATAGCATTGGTCAAGGATGTTTCTAAACTTAACTTTTCCCAGGAACTGACTGGGACAAGTAGAAATTAGATGCCTTCTTGACGGGTTCTCCTACAGAAATAACAACGTGCTGTTTAATCAGCACGTTGAGTTATTCTTGTCAGCGAATCTGGCAGTAATTGTAGGTAGACTCACCCGTTATCTTCGCTGCCTACTGGACAACTGATTTAACAGGTACCAACTAGTGTTCGTGTCATAAGATCGAGAGTTTGTTCTCATATTGAAAGCAGTGTTGGGACTTTAGATAATTTACATAGAATTTATGCAAAATTTACACAAGTTTTCCATATTCTATGCAAATTGTAGGATATGTTTATATAGGTTACACATGGACTTTTACTAAAGATGATCTGGTGATTAGAACATTCGAGACATTACTTGCGGGTCATGGGTTCGAATCCCGTCACCGAATATACTCGCTCTTTCAGCTGTGAGAGTGTTATAAATGTTATGATAAATAGTAGCCTAAGATTTAGTGATGAGTAATGTTGACTAGCTGTCTTCCCTTTGGTCTGTCACTTTAAAATTAGGGATCGCTAGCACAGGTATCCTTCGAATAGCTTTGTGAAAAACTTCAATAAACAAACTTTCACTAGATTTATCGCCATGTTTCTGCAACTTTCACTACTGTGTGGAAACTCATAAAGCTCCAACTTTCGATTACAAGTAACAGGTTTGTATACTTTTAGGTAGTTTTACTTGCCAAGAACTCTTCAAATTATTTTGTAACTTTCATTTTCGTTAGCTCTTGCCTATAATTTAGTTAAATTCGTTTGTTTGTAGTTAAGCACAAAGCTACACAATGGGTTATCTGTGCTCTGCCCACCACGGGTATCGAAACCCGGTCTCTAACATTGGAACTCTGCAGACATACCGGTGTACCACTGGGGTGGGGGCTATTTATTTAAGTAATTGTTTAAGTTCGTCAAAAAGTAAATAGTGTTGCGCCAAAAGATAGTGGGCACAGGTTCTTATTTAAAGTATGGTTTGCTATTGTTATTTAGTAAGGTTAAATCGAGAATTAATTTATTCTATTACATTTGAACTTGAGAACACTCTCTGTTTGTGATTATTTTACTTCTATATGCTAGCTTAACTTACATGCATTAGCAAGAGCCTGTTATTTAACATAGTCTTCATCGCTCTTATTAGTCACTTACAGCGGCGAAATCAAGGTCAGACGCGACTAAAGACTAAATAAAAAGGCTAAGCTCATAACGGGTCTTTTTTGAGGCAGGTCCTAGGGCTACAAGCCCCCGCTATAATCTGCCCGTGGTCTCACACCTTGTTTTTTATACATGTATAAACATATTATCATTTGCCCTATATTGTACAATAGTGCATCGTTTTGTTTTTGCTTTGTTCCAGTAAACTGTCAAGATTTCTATTAAATATTGGTTCCTTGTGTATATCTGTCTGTTTCAGTCTTTGTTGCCCACCCGTCAGGAAACACACCTGCATACGCTTCTTGTAACTTGTACCAACTGTCCACTCGTTAATAAATCCACAAGTGTGTCTTGGGTGATTTTTAGCGTCTTGTAATTTGTACCAGCTGTCCATTCGTTAATTACTTCACAAGTGTTTCCTGGGTAATTTTAGCTTCTTATAACTTGTATCAGCTCTCTACTCCTTAACTATGCAACATGTGATGATAGAGTTGTCTAGTTTCTTCTAATTTGTATCAGCTCTCCAGTCCTTAACTATACTACATGTGATGATAGAGTGGTCTAGTTTCTTCTAATTTGTATAAGCTCTCCAGTCCTTAACTATACTAAATGTGATGATAGAGTGGTCTATTTTCTTGTAATTTGTATCAGCTCTCCAGTCCTTAACTATACTACATGTGATGATAGAGTGGTCTATTTTCTTGTAATTTGTATCGGCTCTTCAGTCCTTAACTATACTACATGTGATGATAGAGTGGTCTAGTTTCTTCTAATTTGTATCAGCTCTCCAGTCCTTAACTATACTAAATGTGATGATAGAGTGGTCTATTTTGTATCAGCTCTCCAGTCCTTAACTATACTAAATGTGTTGATAGAGTGGTCTAGTTTCTTGTAATTTGTATCAGCTCTCCAGTCTTTAACTATACTACATGTGATGATAGAGTGATCTAGTTTCTTCTAATTTGTATCAGCTCTGGAGAGCTGATACAAATTACAAGAAAATAGACCACTCTATCATCACATGTAGTATAGTTAAGGACTGGAGTCCTTAACTATACTACATGTGATGATGGAGTGGTCTGGTTTCTTCTAATTTGTATCAGCTCTCCAGTTCTTAACTATACTACATTTGATGCTTGGATGGCTTTAGCTTCTTTGACCTTGTTTTTACTATTCACTCCTTAACTCGACTTCGTGTACTGGTTGTGTAACTTTGACTTTTTGTAACGAGCTCCAGGTGTCCACTAATAAAGTAAATCGTGCATTTGTTAAGAGATATCAACTTCTTGTAACATGTTTCAGTGATCCACTCTTTAACTAAACCAGACATATGTTAACCATTAAAATATCATCTTTCAAACACAGGAAGAATATTTGAACACATATAAACAGGTTTACATCATGTTAAAAGCTAGGACCGACTCGAGACTGACCGAACAACGCACAGAATGAAGATGCATGAGTGTTACAGGAAATAATACATGTGTATGTGTCTCTGTGTTACGTGATATCAGCTATTACCACAGTTAATCAATCAAACTAAACAATTAGTCAATAATGGTTTCAGAAACATCCTCGGTGGGACAGTGGTAGGTCTAATGACTTACAATGATAAGATTCATGGCTCGATTCTACACGGTGGACACAGCAGATAGCCCAATATGGCTTTGCTCTAAACAAATAAAAAGTTTCAGAAACTCAATAATAGAAGAAATAAAAAAGTATAAAATTTCAATAAGGTAAATACGATAGGAAATTAAGCCCATAGATGTAATAACAATTAGAGTAATGTGTAATATATTGGGAAATAACTGTATACACCGTTACATACAATATAGATAGAAATGTAGAAGATTATAGATACAATTTTCAATTTGGAAAGTTGTATACAAGCAATATAAATTATTGAAATATTTGAAGAAAATAAATGTTAAAACATTATATATACATATATATATATTAAAAATTTCTTTATTCCCCAATCAGTCCATCCCCAATAGAACTTATCATTTATCTCTGTTTATACAACGGTCTAGTCCACATTTTGCCTTCTTCATATTATTACTTTTATTTTCCGTCGACGATAGTAGCCACCAGTATCATAATTTTCATTTCTTTGACAAAAAAAAATTTGTCAGAATCAAGTCGATGACCGGAAATATTCATCAATTTTTACATATAGATTGAGTTTGTAACTGATCTCTATATCTCCAATAAAAATGATCATTAAATTTGCCCAGTGTTTTTCTTGTTGCATTCACGTGTGAATTTCTCTTCAACATGTTATTGTGTGTG